CAGATTATTACATTTGTTCCTCTTTTTTCCCCCCCATAACTCCCTTCCTTCCAGTTCCCACCCCACCCTCCACCCTCACTCCCCACCCACTGTCCTCATCCATAGGTGCACGATTTTTGTCCAGTCTCTTCCCACATCTCCCACTCCCCTTTCCCCCCCCAAGAATAGTCAGTCCATTCCCTTTCTATGTCCCTGATTAATTATAATCACCAGTTCATTCTGTTCCTCAGATTATTTATTCACTTGATTCTTAGATTCACTTGTTGATAGATGTGTATTTGTTGTTCATAATTTCTTCTTCTTCCTCTTCTTAAAGGATACCTTTCAGCATTTCATATAATACTGGTTTGGTGGTGATGAACTCCTTTAGCTTTTCCTTATCTGTGAAGCTCTTTATCTGACCTTCAATTCTGAATGATAGCTTTGCTGGATAAAGTAATCTTGGTTGTAGGTTCTTGGTATTCATCACTTTGAATATTTCTTGCCACTCCCTTCTGGCCTGCAAAGTTTCTGTTGAGAAATCAGCTGACAGTCGTATGGGTATTCCCTTGTAGGCAACTGAGTTTCTTTCTCTTGCTGCTTTTAAGACTTTCTCTTTGTCTTTTGCTCTTGGCATTTTAATTATGATGTGTCTTGGTGTGGTCCTCTTTGGATTCCTTTTGTTTGGGGTTCTCTGCGCTTCCTGGACTTGGAAGTCTATTTCTTTCACCAGGTAGGGGAAGTTTTCTGTCATTATGTCTTCAAATAGGTTTTCAATATCTTGCTGTCTCTCATCTTCTGGCACCACTATAATTCTGATGTTGGTACGCTTGAAGCTATCCCAGAGGCTCCTTACACTATCTTCGTATTTTCGGATTCTTTTTTCATTTTGCTTTTCCGGTTGGGTGTTTTTTGCTTCTTCGCATTTCAAATCTTTGACTTGATTCTTGCGCTCCTCTGGTCTGCTGTTGGGAGTCTGTATAATATTCTTTATTTCAGTCAGTGTATGCTTAATTTCTAGTTGGTTCTTTATCACAACATCGAGGGTCTCATTAGATTTCTTGTAGATCTCAATAAGTTTATCGGCTGCTTCTAGACAGTTCTTGAGGGACCTTAAAAGTGTGGTTCTAAACTCAATATCCTCCATTGACAATTTTGTCCTGTTTCTTTGTCTCTGCATTTTTTATGCTTTCTTGGTGCACCCCCTAGTGGTCTTTGTGCGCAGTCTTGTTGTAGTTAAGCCTTGATTGTTGTAGTTAATACTAGGAGGATTTGACCTCCAGGCCAACTGGCTGTGAGAATCAGCTGTGTCTGCAGTGGGAAAACTTCTGTCCTCTGGGGAGGTACTAATCTAGCCTTTGCCTGAGGCTATCCGGCAAATGGCTCTGTGCAGGGCTTGGGCGGGGCGGGTCGCACGGGATCAACAGGGCGGGAGGAGGGAGGAGTTATGGCTGCTCTCAGTCCTGTCCCCAGAGGATCTGCCTCTCAGCGTCCCGGCAACCGCTGCAAACCTCGGAGAGAAAGCTGCCCTCATGTTCCGACCGATGCCAGCTAAAATTAAACCAGACTAAAGATGCTTGGAAAATATCACATAAAAGAAGTATGTTCCTTACTATCTTAAGTTTGGTTTTGTTACACCTTGACACTCAATTTCCTCTCCTAATACCACCTGAGTTTTATAATACAAGCCAGGAAGAAGTTTAAGCTCCCAGAATTCAGAAAAACTCCATACCTTTATGCCAAAGAATGCTTATATTCAATTTAAATGTCCATGAATCTAACTTATCTAAACCAACAGGACATGAATTTAAAGAGCTATATCCAAATAACATCCTCTCCAAGTCTCACTGCAAATCATTTTCAATTTTTCCCCTCACATAGTCTTTTACAGGGTACATATATATAAAAAAAGAATTCACATATGCTATTGGTGAAAGTATAACAAAAGTACAATATTTTTGGTGGTCAATTTAGTACATCTATCATCAAGGACACATTCCATTTCAGGGAATTTACCCTAGAGATAATACACTACAGGTGCCCCCAAAAATCTACAAGTGCACACACATATTCTTTCCACTAATATTTTTTATAATGACTTTACAAACAATCCTAATACCTATCAAAAGGGAACTAGTTAAATAAATTAGGGTACAACCATGTTATAATGCCACACAACATTTTAAGAGGAACAAGATAAATCTCTATGCACTGATATGAAAAAATAGCCACAAGATGTTAAGTGAAAAAGCACATTAAATTATAGCTTGTACAACATCAGTCTTTTTGTAAAAAAGAAAAAGACCTATTACCATGTCCCTTCTAGTTGTATATTCACAGAAAAATACATCGTCAATTTGTTTATAGCAACTATTTCTGGGGATCTAAGGATGCCCAGAGTTACTTTTTCCTTCACACAAATCATGTTTTTATTGATTTTAGAGAGAAAGGAAGGGAGAAACATCAACATCCTGCATGCCCCCTGCTGGGGATCAAGCCTGCAGGTGCCCTGACCCAGAATCGAACCTATAACCCAATATCCTTAATAAAAACTTCAATAAGAAACAAAATGTCCAAAGGTTAACTTTCTAGTAAAAGAGAAAGAACAGAAAGAAACATAGTGAAATTTAAACCAGGTAATCAAACCCTGAATAAATTAGAAGGTTAGAAAATACTATTAGGTTGTAAATATAAAAAGTGCATCCTTAAGGAAAAATGGCCACAGTTTTAAAATGATGAATTAAAAAGTCACATTTATCATTCTCTGCTCCACACCCTCTCACAGTATGAGAAAGGGGGTTGTGATTATTACAAAATTTTACTATTCATTCTAAAGTCTTTAGTTCCATTAAACAAACCAGTTTTTCCACATGTACATCAAAACAAATCAGTAAAACTAGTTTTGAACACAAGGAAAAAGGGTGGTTGCCATAAATCTGTTTAAAGGAATGAAGTAAGCGTATGATCTTTATTTACTCTAATATAAAACCCCACAATTAAAAGTTTAGCTTCTAGAACAGTGTTTCTCATAAACCAGAGAAATAAAATTATAGTTCTTTCTTCCATACATCCTAGAGAAAATTTTTTCTCCAGATAAGCATGTCCCAAATGCCTATGTGGCTAACAACAAAGGTGACAAAACTACAACTGAAAGGTAATTGCAAGGAACTCAAAAATAATTACTATTGGCTCTGTATGCCTACAATCAAGAAAAGACTGGTATCAGAAATTAACCAGGGAAAGAAGGGAATCAACAAACTTTAATGGAAAGTTTAACTTTTTTATTTGAATGAGGCAAAGGCTATAGTTTTCTTGTTTTCCCCCAGAACATTAGGACACTTAATAGCTATTTAGAGAGAAAAACTATGGACTGTATTATAAAAAGGTAAGACTATTTCATCAGATAATTAATTGAATTTACTATGTGAATCTGTTACCTAAAATTTGCTACTGTTAAGAAAAAAAAAGAACACACCACAACTCTCAATGCTTAAATCTCCCATAATAAACATAAAACTACACTATGGAAAGGCCTGATATTAAGCTTTCATACAAGTCACAATTTTGTGTGCATACTATTACTGAGTACTGCCCTAGGTACTGGAGTTCCACAGTGAACCATGATCTCTGCTCTCATGGAGTTTGCATTTTACCATACAAATAAGATGCAAAGTGAATAGGGCTAAAAGGCTTCTTGGAGGACATGGCATTTGAGTTAAGACCTGAATGACAAGGAAGAGAAAGCCATGTGACAATCTGGGAACAGAATTCTCCAAGCAAAGATAATACAAAATATAAGGGTACTATAAGATATTTTAATGAACTGTCTCTAAATCAGTTTTTTAAAATATAATGTTTGTTGATTTCAGAGAGGAAGGGAGAAGCAGAGAAAGATAGAAACATCAATGAGAGAATCATTGATCAGCTGCCTCCTGCACCCCCCCCCCCCCACCCCCCCACACACACACTAGGGATCGAGCCCGCAAACCGGGCATGTGCCCTGACTGGGAATCAAACCCGTGACCTCCTGGTTCCTAGGCTGACGCTCAACAACTAAGCCTCACCAGCCGGGAAAGATCTTTTAACTACACTTCAGTGACATTCCATCATGCAAAATAAAGTCAAATGTGGCTTGCAAAGCCTTCAGGAATTCATGCAACTCACCTGTAGATCCTATTAAAATAAAGATTGTGATTCAGTGGTCTGTAATGGGGCCTGAGATTCCCTTTCTACTAAGTTCTGCAGACCACACTTTGAGTAGCAAGGATCTAGCTCAAGTTCATACCTCACAGCACTCCCACACAGTGAATTAATGCTCTTCCCCACATACCATGTTCTTACCTCTGTGCCTTTTTATAACTTCACTGTAAACGGTTTTTCCCTTACCTCCTCCACTGCAAAAACTTTTACTCTTCATTACAGTTTCGTTCAAACGTCACAGATACTTCAGACATATGTTGATGCTACTTCCTTTGTATTCCACCACACTTCACATGTCTGTCTCCCCATGAGACTGTGAGTGTGGGGATAGAAAAATACTATCCTAGACACACAGATACTCAATAAATGCTTTTTGAGTACAAGTCAGTAAGGTATGGCATTTTTGCCGCAGTCTTTGAAATAATGTTTGTCACAATCACTTTTATTCCGTAACATTTTCTTTAAAGCAATATACAGTAAAAAAATACTGTCAAATTATTAAAGGTCACTTAAAATATAAGACAATACAAATTCAAAATTGAAGTAAAATGTAATACTATTTGATGAGATATTTATCTTATTGCTGGAAAAAAGTCACACTGATTTCACTCTATTTTAGGGTAAAAAGGGCAAAACAAAGATGGTACTCTTTGGTAGTCTTTCAATTTAAATACTTACAGAAAAATAAGAATGGCATCAAATTTGTAGTATACCTCCCCCCCCTTAAATTAATAAGGACTTCTATTATGTTTTAAAAATAAATGACAAGAATAGCATCTAAATCAAATGCTTACACTTGCAGTCCTCTCTTTACCACTCACCTTCCTCATCGATCCATTTCATGGTAAAAAGCTGTTCATTGTCAAAAGAACACATGTCTCGAACCTCATTGCAAAGGCCCTCAAAGGAGATGGAAGGTTCAAAGTGTGTTATCATGATATCCCTGAAAAAGAAAGGGCGTTTTGAGTTAGACAATGATTAAAATGAATAATGCTCTACACATTACTGAATGCCTGACGACTTGATGGACTTCAGCTATTTTGTATGTGCATCGATTATGTTGCTTCCAGTAAACTATCTGTGCAAAGTAAAAATTAAATTGGTAAGAAACTAATTTAATTCAGTCTCCACCTAACAGCTCTGACAGATGGTAGTCCCACCTTTGCTTTAATATTCATTATCAGAAGATCACTCTTTTACTAGGCATTGCACTCCATGGATGAATGGCTTCTGCCTTATATTTAACAGAAAACTGTTCCAATCACTAGTCCCAGGTCTCCCCTTCTCAAAAAGTCTACCCTTTGTCCAAGAACTGGCCCTTCAATAATTTGACAAAGATCTGTCATGTCCTCTTCCTCAGCCCTAACTTCCACAGATTAACCACCCATAAGACTGTCAACCATTCTTTCCATGTCATAATTTTTAGATCTCATACCCTCATGTTCACCATTTTCCCAAAAAATCCCTATTTGCCAAAATTGGCTTTTAAATGATTCATATTTTAAGGTGGATACTCAAAAAATGTATGAATAGACATAAATGTGTAAGCAATAGTATGTAAGTCCACCTAGCAGCCATTCATTATAAAACTTAAAATGTAACAAAAAGTAGATAAGTGGATAAAAAAGCTGTGGTACTCAGTGGTTGAATGTGGACCTATGAACCAGGAGGTCACAGTTCAATTCCCGGTCAGGGCACATGCCCAGGTTGCAGGCTTGACCCCACTGGAAGTCAGGCAGGAAGCAGCTGATCAGTGATTCTTTCTTACCATTGATGTTTCTCTCTCTCTCTCTCCCTCTCCCTTCCTCTCTGAAATCAATAAAAATGTATTAAAAAATAAAATAAAAAGCTGTGGTACATTTACACAATGGAATACTACTCTGTGTAAAATGGAAGAAAATTTACTCTTTGCAACAGCATGGATGAGCCTGAAGAACATTATGCTAAGTGAAATAAGCCAGTCAGAGAAAGATAAGTACCATATAATTTCGCTCATACGTGGAATTTAATGAGCAAACTGAACTACCAAGCAAACTAGAGACAGACTCATAGATAGAGAGCAGGCAGACAGCTGGGCAGGGGGGATTATGGGTGGGGGAGAGATTGAGCAAAAAAAGAAAAGAAAAAAAAGAGATAACTCATGGACATGGACAACAGTGTGGTGATTGTGGAGAGGAAGGGTGGGTGGAGGTGGAAGAGGGCATAGAGGGGATAAATGGTGATAGAAAAAATAAAATAAATAAAAAAGATGTTTTAAGCAGAAGCCTGGGGTTTCTCCCAAGAAGCCATGCGAAGCCTATGATTTAATCATATAGTAGTCATCCTTCCAAAGGTAAGTTAAACAGACAGAATGACTCTAAGGGAACACTTACATAACTGTCTCTATGTGTCACACTCTGTTCTAAGGGTTTACAAAGTTAATGTAGTTCATGTGCTTCCTCTATTTTAAACTCTTCAAATGCCTTTTGTCTCTCATGCAGAGTAAAATCCAAAGTCCCTAGCGTCTACAAGGCCCTCTGTGAACTGGCCCTGGCTACCTCTTCTACCATCAGACCTATAAACCAATGTTTGTAGTCCACCGCCTACCCCAGCTACAATGTAAGCTCATTATATTCCTAGTGGCCAACATAATGCCTAACACAGAATGGTTACTTGATAAATATTTGTTTGAAGAAACGAAGGAACTGACACTGTGTTAGGAACTGTGAATAAACCCAAGTATTTGGAGCATAGAGCAGGAAATAAGAAATTAAAAATTTCAGACATCTGCAAAAAAAAGTTAAAACTGCAGTTTTAGGGGCTATTAAAGGTAAGCAGAGAGCCAAGCATAGAAACTGAATGGCCTTTTTTTGATAATCATTCTCTTCCTAAGTATCTCATGGTTTTCTGCCCCTTCTTCTACGAACCCTCTTGCCTTGGCTTTCTTAACAGTATGCTACCCTAGCTCTCTTTCTACTATATTCTGAACACTTTTGTCTTCAATCACAAGATATTCTTTACACCCGCTCTATTATTCCTTCATTTATTCCGACTCTCTCTCAAACCTACTGCACATTCAATGTTTTAACTATTATCTCTATGTAGGGGTCTCCTAAATCTGTAATTTCAACTCTCTGTAGTATTTAAGACTCTTGATAATCTGGTTCTAATTTCTATTCTCAACTTGATCCCATCATTCCCAACACAAATTACTACAAATATCTGGTTTAACTCACAATCCTCAAACATAAGACCTTGATGATCCAATCTTTAATCCTGGCATTTCCTCAGTTTAAGGCTCGGTTTATGGAGGGAGGTGGGGATCAATCGTAACAGGCACTTCAACACAACTTCCATTAAACCTTTTTCAACTGAACAAGTCCAATGGTCTATATTTCTAAACCTGTCCAACATGTATTTTATGTTCCACCTTTTGTTATTTAACTCATCATATACTGATAACACATCCTCAACTAAATTGTAAACAACTAGAAGACACAAATTTTGGACTTTTAAATATATTCACATAACCAGTGACATAATTAGGACTCAAATATTTCTTAACTAAATATAGAAGAAATATTTTGTAGGAGAAATCCATCTTCCAGAAGATGTACTTATGACAAGGGAATATCACTGTTTCTTTTGCCTATAAACAGTTATAGAATACTGAGTATGTTCCAGGCATTTAAAGAAACTTTATCTTACATAATCTTCAAAATAACCATCAAACTAGACATACTAATCCTATTTTACCAATTTAAAAAGTAAAACACTTTTCAACTCTAGAACACTATCTGCCAGTGTCTCACAGATAGAACATAGAATATGAATTAAAATCCAAATCTTCAAATAACCTCATGGTGGATGCTTTAATCTGACCTTCCCCCTCCGCACTCCCCGCCCCCAGATTCACCCATTAGCAATGGAGCATTTATTATACCAGCTTCTGGAAGTATTACCAGCAGACAATCCCCAGCTGTCAGCCTCCTTCAGAGATTTCACTCTTTGCATATGATCACACCCCCTTCCTAGAAACAGCCCACAACCAATGACTAATTCGATGTGGGGGTATAAAAAGGCCCTAGATGTGACTCAGGAAAGCTCTGAAGTGTGACCTCCTCTTCAGAACTCACTCTCTGGAGGGTTAACTAAGGTATCTGCTGAGATTTCAGAGCATCTTGATTCTTTCCTACCTAAGCTTGCTCCCTTCCCTTCCCTCTTCCTCCATAGCTATCGATTCCAAGAGTCCTCCTGTATAAATCTCCTTCATGTTAATCTGAGACACAACTTTCCACACCAGCTATTATCAGATGACACTGTTTTGACAAAAAATATAATGGATACAGTCAATCACACCTTTAAGAGATTGGCTAATGAAAAATGTAATCCTTGTTTTGGAAATTAGTCTACTTTAATACCTGAAGGTAAATAATTTTTTGATTCTTCAGAGAAAATACATTGCCAACATATATAAATTATACATATTTTATGTCTCCTCCAACTAAATGTAAAATCCATGAGAGCAGGAACTCTGTTTTGCTCACTGCTATATCACCAATACCTCAAGCAGTGTCTGGTCCAGAATGGTCGCTCACTTAATATATACGTTAAATGAATGGAGGTGTCACATGCTGTACTCTAAAGAAAGCAAGGGAAATGTAAAAATAAAAAGCATTCCAGAAAAGAGGAATGGCATATAAGAGGCAGCCAAAGTATAATGGTTCAGACCAGGAGAGCTAAAGCCAGGATGCTTGGGTTGGCATCAAGGCTCTATCACTCACCAGCTGTGTATCCTTATGTGCGTTACTTAACTTCTCTTGGCTCAACTTCATCATTTATAAAATAGGAACAATAACACCTCATATGGTATTATAAATATTTAATGGATTGAGTGAATTCATCTTTATAGTATTTAGAATAGTGCATAAAGCATACTCTATATGTATTGAATAAATTTAAAAAATAGCCCGGCTGGTGTGGTTCAGGGGTTGAGCATCAACCTATGAACCAGGAGGTCATGGTTCGATTCCCGGTCAGGGCACACGCCCTGGTTGTGGGCTTGGTAAAAAAAAAAAGTTATGTATTCACAGAATAATTTAAATAGAAGTGAAACCTCATTAGGGAGATAAAAATAACCCAACCTTCTAAAAGCAAAACTCAGATGCTTCTGGTTTAATATGGTACAGGGAACACACATCTATATCTTTTCATCCTAAGGGCCCACTGAAATGACAAATTATCAAAGGCTTTGAAAACAAAAAAAGGCACAAACAGCATACCAGGAACTATGAGAAAGTCCTAGAGGACTGAAAACAGATGGGATAAAATTGACCCCAGAACCATACCAGCCCCAAACAACAAGAGTTAAGAGGAACCTTAAAAAAGAGAAGTTTTATTGACACAAGATTACTTTTCCCTCCTCTAAGCATCTAATCACATCACCTGGAATCTTCAAGTGCATAACACTTACATAAGCATTCATTATAAATTCTTTTTTAAATCGCTTTAAAGAAAAAACTATGAGTTAAAGAGTAGAATAATGTTATAAACCTTTACAATGCAAAAATTACTAAGAAAAATCATATGAAAAAACGAATAGAAGTATAAATTCAAAAATGTTCCTTTCCTAGTGGAGGGTCAGTACTCTAGCTAAACTAGTAAAACAAAAATGGGCAAAGAACTTGGAACATATATTTCTTCAAAGCGGATATACAAATGGCCAACAAATTTATGAAAACATGTTCAACATCACTAATCATCGGGAAAATGCATATCGAAACCATAATGAAGTATCACTGCACACCCATTAGGGTGCTGACTATTTAAAAAAGCACACAGAATGACAAGTGTTGACAAGGATGTGGAGAAAAATTGTTGCATTGTTGGTGGAAATGTAAAAATGAAATTTCTGTATAATCCAGCAAGTCCACTCCTGGGTATATGTCCAAAAGAACTGAAAGC